AACCTAACCTAACCACTGCTGGGTGTGTGGGTCGCGCAACAGAAAACCAAAGCAAATCTCGAACTGGGCACAATGACCAAAACACATCAGCATGTACTCAACAAATAGTGCTGCACATACTTTGAATGCATGTACATATGTATATATGTACATTAGGGTGGTCCTTAAAAAATCAAATGAGCGAATTTTTTCAGTCTAACCCCCTCAATCGGTAAACGCCATGGTCACAGATATCACATATAGACTTGGGTTCTGTTGGAGTCGGTTAAGACGTCTTTATAGGGTAATGTGAACTTTGATCCCTGCGCGGTACACCTTAACCGACTACAATCGGGGCCAAAATTTATATGTGATAGCTTCGTCTATAGTAGCATTGACGTAGGGGTTGAGGCTTAGAAAATCTGATGTAAAAATTTGCTTCCTACATTTAAGGACTAACCTAATGTAAATATTATCAAAGAAGAGCAACAGAGCCGGCTTAGCGGCCAAAGGTAGCTCAGACAATGGCAACGGTGCCGAAAGGATGTAGAACCGAACAAAAGTTCAGTACGAGGCAGCATTGCAACTATTGTTCGTTTTTATTATTTTATAGCTGCAGCAGTCGTCGCTGTTTGTTGTTGTCGTTGTCATTGCTGCTGCTGCAGTTTTTGTTCTTTCTACAGTTGCTTGCTTGGTTGCAGCGCGCAAAACGACAATGGCAAGGATTCACTAAGAGTACTATAACAGGTATTATGAACGTCGCAATACGTATGAGTTATTCAAGAGCCTTACTACTACCACAAATGCTTCTGGCTCGTTTGAGAAGCGGAGAATAACTGGTACAAGAGCGCTTTTGTTGTATGTACGTGTGACGGTGAAATTGTATTATACTTATGGTATGTAATTTGCAAAGAAAACACTGAAAGTGTTGCTCTTTGTGGGAGGAGGCCAAACAGGTGTTGCGAGGAAAATTATGAGACCTAGTTTTTTTTGTTTTTGATTTTACAAAAGGTAAAGTGAGCTGCCAACGGCAAAGTGGCCTTTTATGTTTATTTGGGGTGTTCAGGAGCTTTTATGTTAATTTCATAAATTAAAATACCGTTAAAAGGTGTCAACACTCGGCCAGGTTACCACAATGTTGTGTGGTAGTACTGATCTAGACCTGCGGCTGGGCAGTTATAGTCTTTCTGTATTCAGAACTAAGAATTATAAACTGATAGGGGGACTCAAAATATTTTTTACCTATTTCAGCGACGAAAACATTGCGACGATCAGACTTAAGAGAACGGTTAAAGAGCTCTCGATGATCTCGGCTTACATGCCGCATTACGATGACGAATACGTGAAGGCAGAGGGAAGCCTCTTTCGAACTATGCTGCCTTAGGTTACCTTAGGAACGAGACAAGTAGCTGGACTATGAGAAATGAGGAGTTCCTAAAGCTTCTCCTTGATGCCTATTCTTCCTTCCAAGAAGGAGCCTCTGCCAGGTCAAAGCACGAAAAAATCACTGCCCTCCGAAGTTCTGGATAATCGTCGTCTGGTATAACTTTGAAGTCCTCGACACCGAACACATCATACTTTCACAGCTGGGAATGGCCGTAGCAGTATTAAGGCTACCTTTCATAAATATACGAATTTCTGTGCGAAATCTTCGCAACGAGGTTCCATTAGGGGAAGGCCAGTGGGTGACAGAGAAAAGCTTAGCACTTTGCCGTAGAGATATCGACATCAAGGGTTCCTATAAAAACATCCAGCTGGATCCAGTATTTAATTAATTGAATTATCTCGGCGTTGAATTACACCCAATATGACTACAACTTTCTCTGTAAGGCTTGCTTGCATCATAGATTCAAATCAGCTCTTTGTCAACATAAATTCCCTCAAGGGACGACAAGTTGAGTCGAATCGACTGGAGAGAAGAAGCATGAATGGATAGGCCTTCGTCCATGAGCTCGCCATCAACATCAAGTTTGGGCTTCCAGACTGGAGTAGAGGTATGCAGGTAGAAGTGGCTATATTTAGAAAAGCTGCAGACACATTGCTCAAGGGTGTCATGTCAATAAGCAAGGTGAGCATCTACTCGGATAGCCAAGCGGAAAAGAGAGTCGTGAGCTCACTAATGATGAGCTCAAAATTGGTCAGGGAGTGCCTGATCTCCTACTGAATTTCTTCGGAACATTTTCTAATCAGACGTATATGGATACTAGACTACATTGATGTTGCAGGAAACTTCATGGCGGACGAGTTAGCGAGAGAGAGAAAGAGAGAAACATTTTCACCGCATTTGGAGCGGGTGGGAACGGCGGTGGGCACTTGTGGTTCACTCTTGGGCAGATGGTCACTTTTTTACAAAATCGAACATTCTTCAAAATGAGAGCTGAACAAAGCTGCTGCGATGCTCAGCAATGAAGGCGTAAGCCCAATTCCCGAGGAAAAATAATGTGCATGTTCAAGTGAAGCTTGAAATAAAAACATATTATGGTATCTGTCTGTTGACTTATCAGTAGTTGAACCAGGTGTGCCAAACATATTTTTGAGGAGGGTTGCCACCTGTTTAAAAAATTGTATTCAATTACTAGATTGATAAAGTAAATGCAATATTAAAATACGGGTATCAAACTAAATTAAATTTTCAGTATTAAATACCTTCGAAAATATATAAATTAACACCTTTATTCATAAAAAATAAAGTACATTTCATAAATCGAAAATTTGCTTGAAAATCTCGCTTCGTAAAGCTCTTCAAATCTATTTGGTTTTTTATGAATGAAGCCATACGAGTTTCGGGATGGAGTTACAACACAAAAATACTTTTAAGGGGCAGTGAAGCACGCCGGGTAGTTTCTAAATTTTTATAAAAGATGTTCATTTGAAATAATAACACGGTTCCACAAAATTTGGTCGTATTTTATCTCGAAAACGGGGCCGGCCTCATTTTATAAATTTTTTAATGCTGATCTGAAGTGCATTTACAATTTTTTAGCACGTCCAGTTTTTGATAAAAAAAACTGTTGAAGTGTCGAAAATGGCAAAAATTGCAAATTTTGAAAAAAAAAAATTACAAATAGAATTCGGACGTCGTTTTTCATAAGAAAAAAAAAAACACGTACTAATGATGATGGATTCTACCCCATGTCGATGGATTGAGTAGAAAGTGGTGAAAGACAAAAACACGTAGTGAAAAAAAAAACATGCACCCTATGCAGAAGTGATATGATAGGAAATCAAAGTCCACATGGTTGCTGACTATTGCTGAACTTTGAAAAGCGATGATAATGCGATCAAAAAAAAAAAAATTTTGAGGATTTCATTCCTGATTGCGGAAAGTGCTAAGGATTTTCCTTAATACGTGTTTTTATTTTGGGGAAAAACTATTTTTCTCAAAAACTGGACGTACAAAAATTTTGTAAATGCACTTCAAATAGCATCAACAACCTACAAGGTTTTGTTGAACCGTGTAATAGGCCGGGTTATTGTTTTCGTATCAATCGAGAATTTGAAATTTTTGTATAGAAATATAAAAGGAAAATTTAAAATTTTCGAAGAATACGGCTCTTTATCTCATATCTACTATCTTTAAACTGGGAACTTCGCATGCGCCCTCTGATTTTTCCTTCATAACGCTATCGAAGCTTCCGCTCGCTCCACTTTCAAACACTTCTCAAGCACTTCAAATTCCTATGAAATATAATATCGAGACCAAATGCGCATACTTAAAACTGAAAATGCCATATCCAATAACCATGGAAAGTAAATATGTTCATATGTTGGCGCATTAGGGTGGTACTTAAAATATTTACATTTACGTACATCCAAAAAAATTTCATGGTTTCAAAAATTTTAGGCGTCGCTACCAGGGTTAAAAAAAATATTCATGGTGGCCTTAATATATCAGTTTTCAAGACACAATTTTGTAGAATTTTCGCGATTTTGTTTTTAATTTAATTTTTTTCTAACCCAGGTAGCAACCCCTAAAAAGCTTTATAAAATTTTTAAATTTTCGTGGGCGTCTTTAATTTGTACGTAGAACCAAATAAAGGGTGCTCCTACACAATTTTGATGTTGATGTTTCAAGGACCACCCTAATGTCAAGTACCCGTACATCTTCACGCTTTCAACGTAAACAAATGAGTGGAACAGTTTGAAAGAACCATTGCGGCGCGCCCCGGCTTAAGTAGTTATTTGGTGCATTCGCCGCTAGGCAACCACAAATAAATAAATAAATATACAGCTCTAATGATACGATGTAGGCGAATGTGGACACTTGCAGACAAAATGGAAACTTATTTTTTCCGCTACTTTGTTTTGCGTTTATTTAACGTCGCACAAAGTCGCTGCTCTCATATTTCATATCCCCATACAATACCCCTCTCCTCAATGCCCTTTGACAAACACTCTCATATAAAAAAAAATAAATTGCCCAGCAGACGGCCTTTGGCATGCACTGCCGATGTGGGTTGTTGCAAATTACGATATTTCAGCGAATTTGGCCAACGTGGCATGAATGAAAATATGCGAGCGCCAAAAAAAAAAAAATATTAAAAAGGTAGATATTAAATTTCTCAACTGTGATTAAAATCGCTAGAGCTACTGTAAACAACACTTCAAATTGAATATTTATGCAGAGTGTGAAATATACGAAAAGTGTAGAGTGGCTTTAAGAACTTTGGAAAACATCGTAAGCTCATTAGGAAGCGTCGATTCTTTTTAGAAATTCGTAAGAGAGTTTGAAGGTTGTATTATGAACAAGATTTATCGAAGTACATACAAGGGCTATGGTTAGGCTGAATGGACCATAATTAGTTTTAGGAAAGGCGCTGCTTGAGATTGTAGTTCCACAGTCTGCTGATGTCAGCCCCCGAAGAGCTTTTCAGAGCTATTTACTTTTTCCTTCATCTCCATTCAAGCCGGTTGTGAGTTCTGAATGTGAATTTGCGCCAAATTCAAATAATATAGTTCTATATCCTTAAATCGGCAACAATTATTTATTTTTTAAATTAATTCTTCAGTTTCTACTCAAACGCAAATAGGATAAAATGAAGCCACAATACAAAGTTGCCGATATCAACCTTGCTGAATATGGCCGCAAAGCTATCATAATCGCGGAGAATGAGATGCCTGGCCTCATGGCCATTCGTAAGAAGTATGGACCACAAAAGGTGTTGAAGGGTGCACGTATTGCTGGCTGTCGCCATATGACAGTACAAACCGCCGTATTGATAGAGACACTCGTGGAGCTGGGCGCAGAAGTTCAATGGTCAAGCTGTAATATATTCAGTACACAAGATCATGCAGCTGCAGCTATCGCGAAGACTGGCGTACCAGTTTATGCCTGGAAGGGTGAGACCGATGAGGAATATTTATGGTGCATTGAGCAGACCCTGGTATTCGCTGATGGTAAGCCATTGAATTTGATCCTCGATGATGGTGGCGATTTGACTAACTTGGTGCACGAAAAGTTCCCACAGTACCTCAAAGACATCAAGGGCTTGAGCGAAGAAACCACAACCGGTGTACATAATTTGTACAAAATGATGAAGGAAGGTCGACTAGGTGTTCCTGCCATCAATGTTAACGACTCGGTGACGAAGAGTAAATTCGATAATCTATACGGTTGTCGCGAATCGCTAATTGATGGTATTAAGCGCGCCACAGACGTCATGATCGCTGGTAAAGTATGCTGCGTCGCCGGCTACGGTGATGTCGGCAAAGGTTGCGCACAGGCGTTGCGAGGCATTGGCGGACGTGTTATTGTAACAGAAATCGATCCCATAATCGCTTTGCAGGCTGCAATGGAAGGCTATGAAGTTACCACAATGGAAGAGGCATGCAAGGAAGCGACTATTTTTGTAACCACCACTGGCTGCAAGGACATCATCACTGGCGCCCACTTCCTACACATGCCCGACGATGCATTCGCATCTATAATATTTCTGCTTATTATTTTTCTTAGTCACGTTTCTATGGCTTAACATTATTTACTATTATCGAAGCAGTGCACGATGGGTAATTTGATCCTTTTCTGTGGCAATAATTAGTTGTAACAAGTAGATTATTGAAAAAACATGTCATTTTTATTGATTGGCATATGATTTCCCGCAAAAAAAACTCTATCTTGACGGTCGATGGATATTAATGGGCAACTTTTTGATTAAAGTTTTACTGAAAAAGTTTGAATGCAGTTTTTTCTAAATATTTAAATTAAAAATGCAAGCAAAAACTATTTATTTATTCGTTTTTTATAAAAAAAAAGATACCGTTAATTGGTTTGAGGATTCCTTTATAAAATAGCAAGGACGAAACACAACTTTTTGCCAAAAAAACTGATCCAACTACCCATAGTGCAGTGGGTTATTTCGGTCTTCCATACGTACATACAAAGCCCCAGTTTAGGATGGCATATTCCCTGCTATTCCTTCCTAACACCCTTCATAATATGCTTGTCAAGAACGTATTGTAGCGTTGACTACAGCTTCAATGGCAGCAAGTCATCCGAGTAAGAACTCTTTCTGTTAACCAACGCGTTATATACAAAAAGTTTGGTACTACAAAAAGTTTGAATGAGAAACTCAAAAACTTTCCATCATTTTACATTGGGCTTCGCGACAAATCTAACGCGTACTCGATGCACGTGCGTGCAGTTTCCTCTTTCTTTTACATAAAGAATGCAGTATGAATATCGCTAATGTGCAAATGTGTTTGTTTTAATTTACAATTTTGTAAGTGTATTGGAGAATGCGTTAGGTCGGTTCTGCTGGGATGCATAGGTATATCCCCAATAGTGGGAGCAGACCAGCAGCCGAGACTTATGTATATTGCCATCGATATGGCTATCAACAATGAATATCCACTCTACATACTCTTCAAAATCCCATATCTAAAATGAAGAAATCCCTTATAGTTTGGACTTTTGAGAACACGTCGATTTCTCTGAACGACAATTCCACCCGAGACAAAGGGGTAGATGAAACAATGCATGGCCGGATTACCAGTATCCTTTGTTATAAAAATTACAACTAACATCAAACTACAGTGAAAGCTCTCATAGGCGGACGCTCTAATCAGCGGACATCTCCTATAAGCGGACACATTCTTGGGAACGCACAATTTTTGGTGTTTTCCCATACAAAATGCTATCCCATACACGGACTTTCCGATAAACGGACGCGGAGACTCAAACATGTCTCTTTATGAAAAAAGATCTCCCATAAGCGGACGCGAAGCTCTAATAAGCGGTAAACTTTAATTGTTTTTTAGTCTGATGTTGACTCTTGCGCATGTACATATGTATGTATATGTACTCAAGTACATACGCCCATATCCAAAGATGTTTTTTTTTCTAGATACAATTTGGCCTTGAGCGCGGCTGGCAATGAGTTTTGTCGGTAGAAAAGGGAACGCCATAAATTTGAATTTGTTTACCATTCATTCTGTTTATATCGATTCAAGGATAAGCTTTATAAGTTTAGGAACCTGCAATTTCCATTTTTTAAATTTGAACATTAAGATTATTTTTTACAAAATTCCCATAAGCGGACATCTCCCATAGGCGAACAAAAAGTAGGTGACCATCGGTGTCCTCTTATGGGAGCTTTCACTGTACTAACATCAAAAAAAATATCGATAGCAAAATCGATAAAAATATCGATAAAAAAATCGATGAATAATCGATGACAAAATCAATAACAAAATCGATGAAAATATTGATAACAAATTCGATAAAAATATCGATAAAAAAATCGATATCAAAATCCATAGCAAATAACAATATCCATAACAAAACCAATTATAATATCGATAACAAAATCGTTTAAAATATCGATTACAAATCGATAACAAAATCGACAAACATACCGATTATAATACCGACAAGTTCCGAAAATATCGACAGCCAAATCGATAACGATATCGATAAAAATTACGATAACAAAATCGATAACAAAACCTATAAAAATATCGATACGTCCCGAGAATCTCAAAAATCTCTAAAATCCCAAAATAGTTCCCAGCAGTGGCGGATCCAGCGGGGGTTTGTGTGTTAAACTACGTGTAGTAAGTGGCGGACGCACGGGGGGTGTTTTAATATGGCGCATATGTATGTATAATATGGATCCGCCCCTGGTTCCCAGATTGAATCTCGGTGTCTCTTGTCAATATCCTTTTCTCTATAATTACCTATATTTTAATCTTTCTTCCTCTATCTTCATCTTTACTTTTATCGGTATCCTCATCCTCCTCTTTGTCTTTACTTTTATGTCTATCATTTTCTTCACCTACATATTCTCCTTCATTTTTACCCTTACATATATGTAAAGTGTATAAATTTACCTTCATTTTTGCCTTTATCTTTACGCATCTTTGTTTTCATTTTGTGTTTTTATTTTTATTTTTGCCTTTATCCTTTTCTCTATCCATGTACGTACTCACCTTTACTTTCATTTTATATTAGTCTTTTTTAAGTCTTATTCTTTAGCCTTTTATTAGCAAAAAGTACTTGTTTCAGCTCCAACCATTTCCGTTGCACCATTTCCGTTGAATTTGCCAATTTACTCCCAACCAACCAACCGCTAAGTATGTAACCAACCAACTAAGTAAATCGCGGCACTTTTTTTAGGTATGTACGCATATATTAAGATACACATGAAATTTTCCCAATTGCAGAATGAGAAGCGTTGGTTTTTTACCATTACCATTGGCTTAACGGGGTTTTTCTCTTACCAATCTTTTAAGTATTTAATCAAACGAATGAACGCGTTGAATGAAAAGCTAATTGTGCACGCACATAACAGGAAACAAAAAAGGAATAAAACGAAAAACAATACAACGTGTTCCTCTTATTTGATCCCAAACGCTCGTACATCCCTCGTATTCAGTCTGCCGCTTGCATACGAAAGCAGTTTTCATTTTCCAAAACATGCAGCTGTATGTACGTGCTGGAGTCCATGCTCGACACTCCCGTTTGTATGCCACGTTCAACTTGCGATTTTTTTCGAGCTGTTGTTTTTATTGCTCTAGATGGGGGTGCGCTGATAACTGACATTGAACTCATATACATATACTCGTACAGTACGCCCTCAGTAAAAGCAACACTCAATTAACGCAATGCTTCGATTAAAGCAACACACAAATATTTACCACTAGTGAGCTCGTATTTGCCCGTATTCTCAAAAAAATGTAATCTTAGTAAACCATACGCAATAAGGTCATATGGTCTTATTTCCATTTTGTTTTGTGACTCAGCTATTGCAACAACCTCAATCAACGAAACAGCCACATATTTCACCGGCACTTTTACCGAGGGCGTACTGTACATATCTTTGTATATGGATGTATGTATATACATAAATACATAATATGTTTTTATGTATTGTACATTTACGCAAATTTAACAATAATAAAAGGAAAGGAAAAACTAAATGCAAGAAAACACATTGCCGGAATCGTTGTGGAAAAGGACGTTTCAAGACCTTGAACTAGTTAATTTAATGTTACTAATGGAATGACGCCACACAACGTTTTTTACATGTGCATTTTAACTCATGTGTGCCTTTATGCGCATACAATGTACATATGTATGTTAATAAGTATGGGTTAGCACGAATAGTTAAAGCGAATGCGTCGAGTTGCTTGCACATCAATTTAATGGCGGTAACATGCAGCCCATGACTGAAGCATTTAGCGCTAATATGTTTCTAAAAAATCTAAACATATGTACACAAATATAAATAAATAAGTGCGTATGTATGTGAGTTTGAAACAACCACGTCATAATACCAATTGAATGCCATCAATCTAAGAGACACCTTAAGAATTAAAATTGCGTAAACAGGGGGTTGCTGCTGCACCATAAATTCATATATAAATACATCTGTATGTATATATGTACATTAGACTGTATCGCAATAAAAAGGTTAAACTATTCCGACTCGTAGTGTCGGATAATAATATTTTATTTGGACCGCTGGCCAAAACCGCTGATAAACATTGGATATTATTAGGAATACGGCCGGGATATTGGTTACGATTTTACTACTGTACATCGACCTTTGCCGACGATGTATCCACAGAGACTGTGGAAAAGTGTTTAGTTCGCTGAAGCTCAACAAATAGCGGAAGACATTTCCACACAGAAGAATATGGAACAACATCGACGTTGAAATTATTTTCGCCAATGTTGACTGTAGACCCCGTGAGGGATGAACACGAACCTGAGGCAATTTTGAAGAATATTCCGGCCTTTTTTCAAACTGTAATACACTTTAAGGTACATAACTGTTCTCCTATCGACTGCTGGAGCCCTACAGAAACCCACTCTACTGTTTCGTTGTTGTTTTTTTTTTGCATTTGCTGAATTTCCTGTTCTCTACAGTAAGTTTTGGAGTTCTTTCTTTACTCCGTATCAACAGATTCTCTTAAAAAAAGCTGTGTTATAAACCAGGGACGTGAACCGGTTTTGAAACGGAAAACGCTTTTTTTATACTCTAACTGAACCATTAACCGAACCGAAATTTTCCACTAATGTTTGATCCGAACCGAAAACCGAACCACTTTTCATAAAATTTTAAAGGTTCGTTTCGACCAATTTTCAATTGATAAATTTGCCCCCTTTTTTTCTTTCTGTTAGATATGGTAATACCATGTTTGTTTACCGTGTGGCAATATCAAATGTAAAGGCAACCCATCTCATTTGACAGAAATTTTTTTTCTTATTTCCGAACCGTTGAACTGAACCGAAACCCCGGTTCAAAGACCAAAAAATCGCTTTGATGAACCAATCCAAAAGTGCGAAAACGGTTCGAACCGCTGAACCGAACCGACCAAATTTTTCATTCGGTTCACGTCCCTGGTTAAAACAGAAATGTCAGGTGGAGACCGTAAAATTCCACTGTTGAAACATATCTGGCTTGCCGAATTTCTCACCAACAACTGTCATTTCGAACTTTGACAACAAAATCTTCATTTTATATATATTTTCAACTGTTTCAGTGATTTTAATGTGCAAATACTACGAAATGATTCGCTTGATGCCATTTTGGAAATGAAATGTTAACACAGCAAGTTGCCCACATGAGACAACGGGACAAAGTTAAAACCGAAATTTGACAGAAGGCAGTAGTAGAAAGTCATATATGTAATGCTCCTATAGTGGCAGTAAAAGCTAGTACCGTCCGAAAACATTACAGTACAGATATATCAATAAACACGTATGAAACAAGAGGAACACATACGTGTATAAGTAAACATGTACACAACACATAAACGAAAACGGCACTCACGTACATAATACATTTACAAAAACGGTACTATACTATCTAGCTTTGATTTCGAAATCGTTACACATTAGGAAGTTTGCTTACTGCCAATATAGAAGTATTACATATACATATGTATGTAGAAAGTGTAGATGTGGGGAACTATTTTTTTATCGATTTTCAAAAATTATATAGTCCTTACCCACCAAGCAAAACATGGGAAATAGGCAACAATCGTCAATGGCAACAAATTGGCCACTCACCGATTTATTGGTGGTGACATCACTTCGTTCATGTCAATTTGGAATAAATAAGTTCTCAAAAATTCCAAAACTTATGAATATGGCGTCAACAGTATTGTCCAAAGGCATTTTAATTATGACCAAGGACAGGATGGAAAAATAGGAAGCCCCGTAGCGAGAAAAAGAATTAATTCCGATTATAAGTTGCCATTTTGTATACAAAAAATAAGGCGTGGCCTAATGAACGCAAAGCCCAGGCGGTGCGTTAGCGCCATCTGTAGCTCGTTTCTGTAACAATTCTCTCACGTATATTCTCTACCAGTAGAGAAATAATCGGTAGAGAAGAGTTACAGAAACGAGCTACTGGATAGAGTGATATTGATTCTACGCAAGCAAAGGAGGGGTGAAGTTATGCCGCCTTTTGCGGTGTAGGGACACAGCACTTCCAAGGCGAGCAAGTCGCCTTTATAAATCTAACGTCCTGCAAAACAAAGCCGAAGCTACATAGGTAAAGAGTGTCTAACTCTTTTGAATAGAATTATGGCAGTAATCAGTCCAAATTCAATGAATTTAAAAGAATATGCTGGAATGAAAGTGAACATACAAAAATCAAGCATTTTTTAACAAATGTCCGGTCTAATGATTAGAAGGAAGACTATGCGAGGAGCATTAGATTTCACATCTCAGCAAGGTCCTTCCGATTTAGGCCCTTACAAATACCTATACATTTTTTATCCAACACGCTGATAGGCTTTAACCGAACCATACGAGGTTTATGGTACCAAAATGAAAAGTTTTGCTTTTAAATTTGTTTCACATCTCGTGATGTAGCCTAATATACATACATATTTTCATACTTACATATATGCACATTAGGGTGGTGCTTAAAAAATCAAATGCACATTTCATTTTCATTCTCACAGATATCACATATACATTGTGGTCCCGATTGGACTCCAAAAATTAAAGATATTTTTTTTTCATTGAATACCCAAAATCGAAACTACTAAAGTCGAGGATATCACATATAAATTTTGGTCCCGATTTGAGTCGGTTATGACATCTTCATAGGGTAATCTGAACTTTAACCCCTGTGCGACACGCCTTAACCGCATCCAATCGGGACCACCATTTATATGCGATATCTGATGTAAAAATTGTCTTGCTACATTTAAGGACCACCCTATTATACATCCATATATATAAGACAAACATACATACATACATGGATATATAGTATGATCCAGTGGATAACTTGATGCCTTACTGCCAACTTTTGCCACACAACAATCAGTTATTTTAGTTTGACTTTGATTACAGATTTTCAGTTTTTCGTTTTTGCACACCAAGAAGCCTCTAAGTTCGAGTTGCATAGTTCTAAGCATTCGTTGTTGAGCGTCTGTACTACATATACGTACGACCTTTTAAATTATTAAGAACTTTTACTACATATAGTATGTATTTTATAGTTGTATAATTTTATTATAAGTATGTGCGTTTGTGCGTTTTTGATACTTACACTTTCGTTAACAATGTCAGTGCAGTTGCACTTGTAAATTTCCGCCGTTGTTGCGACACAGCTCAGTATGAGATTGCATGCGTCAGCAAAGGAATTTCAATGAAAGGAAGGAGATACTTTTGAAGGAATGTCTACATAGATGTGCATGTATTTACATATATGACAAGTTAGGTCTTTGTTTTTTTTTTTTTTAATTTCGTTTAGTGGAAGAAGACATATATTTCAATAAATGCATATATCTACTCGTGTGTATGTGTGTATATGGCAGTAGTGCAGTGGAGTATTTGCCAAAGCATTTTAATTCCATATTTTATTTTCTCTGACAGCTATAAGAGCTGAGAAAAAAAAATTGTGTTCCATAAGAAAAATATCAACTCAATATGACGTCACTGCATTGACGGATAATGACTGCTAAAGCTAGCTTGAGATAAAGGACTATGATTTGAGGGCATTCACCTTGAATTTCCGGGTCCTTAATGGGGAAGGTGCCTCTGCCCGGCTGGTTGATGTCTGCGGGAAGACATAGGCTGGACAACACTGCCATCTCAGAAATGCTATGGACGGTGCAAGGCAAGGTAAGCGTGGAGCCTTGCGACGTCTACTGCAGTTGCCACGTGAAAGAGCGGAAATTTGGTGTTGGACTTGTGGTGGGAGAGAGACTCCGTCAACGGGTATGACCCGCGAGAAAAGGATCGACACTCACTATATATTTGTAGATTTCTATCCCCGCAAAACTAATATGGCTGTGTAAAATGACGTTGAGCAATACCACCAGATCTGTCGGAATTGGGAAGGACCTCTCCAAACCGCTTGATACCAAATGAGGTTACAGACTCCCTTTCTTGTGATTTCTTTAATCTGATGTTGGAGAAGATAACAAGAGCCGTAGAACTGAACCATTCTGGCACAATGCTTTACAAGAGCTTACAATTGCTTACGTATGCCGACGATGTCGATATTATCGGTTAAAAACAAGGGCAAAACGCATAGGTCTGGTGGTGAGCGAGGTCAATAGACAAAACGAATCTCTTGACACACGCGTCACTGTTGACAGTAATGAGTTTTAAAAAGCTTTATTTGGGAACCATCATTAACACCAATAATAATGTCAGCCTTCAAATCCAACGCAAAATTACTGTTGCCAACAAGTGCTACTTTGGACTGAGTAGGAAATATAGCAGTAAAGTCCTCTCTCGTCGTAAAAAAAATCTCACTCTATAAGTCGCTAATCATGCCGATGCTGGTGTATATCGCTGAGGCATGTCGTTCGAATGGACAGAAACGCTCCAGCTCTGAAAATATTCAACGCGGGTCGCGATGCTGATGACAGAGGAAGAGGAAGGCGTCCTCTGCGTAGGAAAGGCCAGGTGCAGAAGGACTTGGCTTCACTTGGCATTTTAAATTGCCGTCGGTTGGCAGAGAAGAGAAACGACTGGCGTGCTGGTTTGGACAGTGCCAATAAAGAAGAAGAATGTAGCGGTAGTACAAAAACAAAAGCTTACATGTACATGCAGGATTATTACACTTACCTCAGCAGAAGAAATTTAGAAGGGGCTTGTTTCTGTGCTCGGTTGTTCTTCTCGCCTTGGCTAGTTGTATTTAGTTACTTCAGCAAACAAATCGCACACAAATCATTACACACTAAATTAAAATTTTATGAAACACTCACTGGTTGGTATTTATGAACAAACAAATCAATCTACGTACATACATATGTACATATGTGTATGTAGGTATGTATGTGTTTGCCCACTGTGTACACAAAACACGTTGCACCCCTCGGTCTTTGCTTCTTTCTTTGCTTTTGGTTTGTTCGCATGTGTCACATAAATCTGCAATTACAAGGTTTCAGTGTGTATTAGCGAGCTAGAAATTCTATTTTGTTTTGTTGATTTTGATTTTATTTTACTAAATATTCTTTTAATATAAGTATACTTTTGTTGTTGTTGCAATTTTATAGTTATGTGAACCGAGCACTCGTCTACACGTCACTACACCCTTTTCATAAATTGCACAACTGTCACATTGGGTTTTTGCCACCTTGCCTGCCTGCCTGCTTGCCTTAGCCAAAGCGCCTCAGCTACGCCAGCACTGCCGTCTTCGAGACAAAATTTAAATTATGAAACTTTTTTGTGTTTTCATATTACCCACCTATGTAGTATGTATGTATGTATGCATCGAAGCATATACTATAATTATTTTAACATCTCATTTTGTAATCTTTTGAGCACAATTGCAACTCGAAAAATGCGTACGGTATTTATTTTCGTACGAAATCTTACAATTCACGTCACTTCACTTGTTTCGAATGCTCCGAGCGAATTATTTTTAACAACAGCAATTTTTTGGTCTGCTATTTTTAGCTGTAGACGTGTTTTTTGCACGCTTGTCTAATCTGCTGCGAGGGGGTCTGCTAGTGAATCGAAAGTATCAACGACCTCAGAACTGAAGTACTGCGGAGCAAACCAACACAGATCACCAACGCCAAATAGTAAACGACCGAGTGATGCATTTGGCTTTTGCAAAACTCAATAATATTTTTACGCACTTTGCACTAACCGAAATTCCTCATATCAGTCTAGGACGTATGTAGGCTGGCAGACTCCCTGTGAAAAATGCAGAATATTTCTTTGTAATTTCTTTTATATATTTTTTTGGCTTCACGTCCAACACTCTAACCAACACAACCGTGCCACGTTACCCATCCGTCTCAAACGCGAATCATTTCTGAATTGTATTCCGAGTTCCGTGTTTCGAATGGACCGCAGGAGCGCTGACAGTGAGAGGTTGGTTGCACTCTGGCAAAGTGTCGCTCTTTTTTGCGCTCTGATGGCAACTGTCAGCGGCTGACGTTTGATGCAATTGGCAATGCCGAGTATTCTAGGGTTGAAATGAGCATGTCTTTGCGAGCAACTCTGTGATAACGGTTGTTTAGTGGAAGAGGGATGCATAGCTGTTGCGAACACAGGGTGGTTTTTGTAATCTATATTTCGTATGAGTTGATAAAATACAAACAAAAGTCCTAAAACGAAGGCACTAAAAACATGGCACAACAGGCATCTTAAAATTTTCCAGACATTTGCAATTACACTCCTTAATATAGAAAGGTCCTATGTAATGTTTTTGCTTCTCTGCTGAGTTGTTATAAAACTTCATAAAAATTAAAGCTCTTTGGCTACGAATGTTTTAAAAACACCGGTTTTTAATAAATACTGAAATTAATTTACTGGTGGACTACATCATCAAATGGTCCGGTTGCGACCGGAAGTGGATTAAACTGACCGGAAATCCATTTATTCCGATTCTGAGGATAAAAATATGTAACTTTTGCTTGACACTTTTGGCTCGGAAATGCCTCTTTCAACCTCAAAGTGACCTTCGAACATCAACTCGTCCTGGACTTCTTAAATGAGTGAGTTTTTATTGGAAAACAAAAAATATCTATATCACCAAGTCGGGGTTGCTCTATCTTTAGGTACAATTACCGAGTTCTGGTTTCCACCGGAAGTGAATTAAACAGACCGGAAGTCCATTGGGCGTTTATTACCGCGCAGCGGGTACGTGGGTAACGTCCGGAGAGGTAGTTTGCTTAAACGAGGTGGATTAAAACCAAGGCACTAGTAGTGACCGTAAACAACCTCAATTAGACTGAATGCACCGTCTTCGCTAAGCTTGCTAGTTGAGACGGAATTTAGAAGCATATGCATATGTATGTATGTATGTACACCTCCGGCAAAAAGTAGTGGCACTGCTGCTTTTTTTACAATATATGCAACAATTCTTATTGTAATATTTTTCCGAGAGATTTTTGAAACTTCTTTAGCGGCGGCTGGTTGGTTGGGAGTAAATTGGCAAATTCAACGGAAATTGCACACGGAAATGGTGCAACGGAAATGGCTGGGACGAAAGCAAGTGCTTCTTGAATGTACATATGATATTAAAGAATAACACTTAGAAAAAGACCAATACAGGAGTGAAAGTAAAAGTGAGTACGTACATAGATAAAGAAAAGGATAAAGGCAAAAGTAAAAATAAAAACAAAACCAAAGATGCGTATAGATAAAGGCAAAAATGAAGACCAAGGTAAATTTAAACACTTTACTTATATATGGGCAAAGGTGAAGGGGAATATCTATATGAAGTATATGATAAACATACAAGTAAAAATAAAGATAAATATAAAGATGAGGATGAGGATACCGATAAAAGTAAAGATGAAGATAGAGGAATATTAAAATAAAGGTAACTCCATCTGGGAACTATTTTGGGATTTTAGAGATTTCGGGATTCTCGGGACTTATCGATATAATAATCGATATTTTTATCGGTTTTGTTATCGATTATTTCTCTATCTTTTTATCGATTTGTTATCGATATTTTTGTCGATTTTGTTAACGATTTTCTTCTCGATTTTGCTATCGAAATTTTTTTCGAATTTGCCATCGATTTCGTTATCGATATTTTATCGATTTTGTCATCGGTTATTTATCGATTTCTTATCGATTTTTTAGCGATTTTGTTATGGATTATTTATCGTTTTTGTTATCAATATTTTTATCGACATTGTTGATATTTTTATCGATTTTCTAATCGATGTTTGTTATCGATTATTTGTCGATTTCGTGATCGATATTTTTACCGATTTTTTTTATTGATTTTATTGTCGATTTTGTTGTCGATTTTGTTGTTGATATTTTATAGATTTTTTAATCGATTTTGCTACCAATATTATCATCAATTTCGCTATCGAAACTTTTTATCGGTTTTGCTATCGATATTTTTTTGGATATTATTATCGAATACAAAATAACATAAATACAATTAGAACGAACAAAAAATATAACCATAAGCAAAAGCAGATGTATGTATTATGTACATATGTACATATCGTCCTTTAAAGTACAAAACCGTGCAATAATTATCCATTCGGCCTGAAATATACTAGCCACAATCGCGATTACTTTATAAAAAAAAAAAAACCAATTTGAAATATGAGTGTTTTTACTATCTAGCAAATAATTTATGCAACCTCACATACGCGGTTTTGCATTTTGTTGTATGTAACCTGATTTTTGTTAATAAACCAGCGAAAATTATGTGTCCGAATAAAAACTGGCGAGTCATGCGAAAGTTCGAACTAATTGAGAATTGCCCATATATCTTTGGAAAGAATAATGTTGTAATTTTTTAAATCCATAATGACTTTTGCGAAAAAAGGTTGAATATGTGTAAAAAATTTGCAATCAGTTTGAAAGTTACAAAACTTTTTTTTTATATTTTCCATTTTGATAGATGTTTCCTATGCATGATGTAAAAAAAAACACGCTCACATTTACATCAGTCATTTTCGGCAAAGAACAAGGTATCAGTATTTAAAATTAGCCCGAACCTAAACGAAATTCGCAACAGCTGAATAACAAAAAAAATAAATAAAAATACACAAGCGAAAAGATGGATCCCCAAATTTTCCCATTCCGCTTCCTGAAAACACAAAGCCACGTGGAAATAGTGACTGCTGATTTTGTTACCGTCGGCAGCGACAACGGCTGACTTCCAAAACGTCAATTGCTTTGCATACGTACAAAGTATAATGTCCCATGACGCCGAACTACAAAATGTTGACAATGTATACTTTTCAAAAGGCATTCGAAAAGTTATCGAAACGCATCGCTAGAGCAATCAGTGCATCAGCGCATGGTTCGTTTGTTTTTGGTTACCATTGGTGTTTTAAAAATGGAAAATTCAGAAAAATTGTTCATTCCCAACTCTGAATTTACAAACAGTTTGAATACCGCAGTATAACAGTCAAAATTTAAATTAAATTTATATAGCCTGGTAGGCGAAATAATAACATTGAGTCATATTATTCAATGAAAACCCCCGCATCAACCCCGCATTCTATATTTGACCCATCTGTAAAGACAGTTAAGGGGGGCTGGAGTTTTCCTTAAGTCCAGCTTGGGAATTTCGTACGGGGTTTGTGGTGAATTTAGGTCGTAGACAGGATATAGTCAGAGGACTGAGCTTTAATTTCAGGCGGGAGTGCATCTAAAATGGAACCGTGCCCAATCGGTATTTCCTTCCAGAGCCCCAAGGCATGCAGTAGATGACGCATTTATCATCTGATTTTTTCTATAAAGATATCCATCGGTAATAAATCTAGCAGAACGTTCAAAACATCATTCGGGCAGGATCCAATTGCACCTTTTACGTCAGCCTATGAATTCTGCTTAGCTTTTAGCTACGTAATCCTTATTAAGGGCTGGTGACCGCCCCATTAGAGAGTATGCGTCGGACTATAGCTGTGTACATTCAATACACAATTCTTGGTTTCAAACCCCATCTGATGCCTGACATTTTCTTGGCTGCATAGACAGTCCCCGTGACCTTCCTTACACGTCCTTCAATATTTAGCTTCCAGTCAATTTTGGGATCCAGAATAACTCCAAGGTATTTTATTTTGTTTCACAGATACAGTTCCGTTCCCCGAAACGTTTGTTTACTAAAATTACGCGATTTTGTTTTATTTATGGAAAACATAAGGTCAGTTTTCTCAGGGATTGCGCAAAGATAGAATATACCGTCTTTAGAGCCAGCTCCATAGTTTCACTAATGACTGGCGTAAGCCACCGCCTTAATTCTCTGGGAGTGTAGCTTTACCAGTAGTTTTTTCACGGTCATGAGCCATACTAACGGTGTTAACACTCCTCCCTGTGGGCTGCCTCTCACTGCATATACGGCCCTATTTGAATCAGATCGAAAAATAACGAATTTCCAAAATAATAAGACTTCAACGATATTTAGTGGTACTCTTTTTCACAAACTTGAATGACCTTAAATAAATATATTTTCAGGGTTCGTACAAAAATTTCGAATCACTTAAAAATTTTCGAGTTTTCTAGATTTACATTTTTTTCCCTGTAACAACTTTATTCAGAATATAACAATCTGTTTAATCCTTAAATTAGTCCAAACGGAGCAGCCGTTCAAAAGTGATGCTTTAAAGCTTTTCCTACTAGCTAACCTTTCGAGCTTCTTGCCGAATTAATGACGCAGTGCCAAATTTTTAATTTCCGTACTATTTATTTTCAAATTCATTAACCTAAAAATATAACTAAACAAAACAAAACTCAGCTTAGCACCTCACTCTCTCTCTCTCCCTTAACCTAACAAACCTCCAGCCGCACCACCGAGTAGACCAGCGCCAGCCACACCACCGGCGCCTGCAAAGCCACCACTTTCCGCATAATGCGCCTTAAAGCGTCCGCCACCAAAGCCACCACCAGCACCTTTGAAACCACCCAAACCACCAAGTCCACCGAATCCGCCTAAGCCGCCACCAAAGCCGCGCGAACGGATGTGTACGCTGGTGCGGTAGCGTTTGAAGCCACCACCAAAGCCACCACCGAAGCCGCCGCCGCCGCCTGCCAAGCCACCGAGTGCACCAATGCCAGCGCCACCTAAACTTCGGCCTTCTACACCAAGCGCTGGCTGTTCCACCACCACCGGTTGCTGAGCTAAGACGGGCACTTGTTGTATGGTTTGCACACTCGACACAACAGGCACTTGTTGAACTTGTTGCAATGTGGAGTACACCGGTATTTGTTGTATAGATTGGAGTGCACTGAGATCGCCACCGTAATTTGTAAAGCCATTGAGGGCACTCGTGTAGGCATTGCCGTTACTGGAAATCTCATTTATGCCGCTACTTGCACTCAAGCTGCCGCCGCCCACACCGCTAGGAGCCGGACCGTAACTAGAGCTTAGTCCACTCAGATCACTCGTAATGCCACTCCAATCTGTAGAAAGTCCAACCAGATCATTACTACCATAGGCACCTTCATTCCCAAGAGAGCGTATCTGCCTATAGTCAGGTATGCCATAACTCGTTGCTGGTGGTGCGAGAAGATACTCTTCAGCGTAAGTTGTTGTTGTTGTTGCTGTTAATGCCAACAAGGCACAGATTCTAGTTTTTAATGAGAACCACATTCTTACAGTGGTTTCTGGCGATCTAATTTGCTTTTGTTTACTTTTAAGTATTGCTATGCTTATCCATCGACGTCGTGAGCTAATCTAAACTTCTTTCCCAACCCCAAAATGCTTTTATATAGTTTCACACTTCGTTAATCCAAGTCAATGCTACTAAGGTTAATATTTTTATTTGACGTTTGCCAACGTGTCAAATTTGAATGCTCTTCTTCATGAACCAAGTAAGTTTGTCTACGCTCCTACAACGAAAAAAATGCTAATATACACTGCTGAGCTCTGTAGTTTCCCAAATTGTGTTTACACTTATCGATTGTCATGTTTAAATATCGCTATATTTACCATTTCAATTATGCAGCCATGAAAAAATAAAGTTTGCTCTTACATTGCGCAACATCAGTCTCAGCAATTTAAGAGTGCACGGGTAATCAGTGAAGTACTATTTATGCGTTCTTGTCGTTTTTTTTTTTGTGTTTGAGGTGTATTGAAACTGCAGCAACTGGCAAATCTCTGTTCACTTGTATCGATACCGAAAAAATAAGTAAGTTGATGTTCGAATCATGTTAATGACCTTACATCGCTTTTTTTGTTTACCAAAGGTGTTAAATGGTTTTTCAAATTGTTTGAATAACAAACAAGGAGAGTATAATAAAAAAAAAAAAATTGTTATTAACTAGTTTTTAGGGACCGCAAAATAAAATTAGAGAAGCAATTTAGTAAAAAAGAATTTTTTTAGATTTCAACTTTACATTTGCTGGGTTTTACTTTGAAATAATTTTTTGCTGTAATTTTGTTTATTCATTACGTAACTGCGTACACACAAATTGAAACTCTAAATTTTACCTAATAGCACGCTATATTTCAACTTGAATTGACAAGAACACTGGAATACTATCGAAATCTGTACGAAGAGGTCAAAAGTAAAATGCCTCTAAGCCTAATATCCGATTATTCCAACAACTAATAGAAATATGAAACATCAGCAGTTTGATCTCACTCATTCCTGTTACTATGAATTGTTTCTTTACTGAACAAAAATGTTTTTTTTTTTTGCTTACAAGCAACAAAATTGAAACAGAATAGATCAGCACATAGAAGAAAAAAATGTTTTTTTGTTTGGATCGTTCATCTAATAAACGTCCAAAACTATATTCGTTTCGATCAAATTACTTCACATAAACCACATTTTCTTTCATAATTTGTTAGATATGTGATTTAATTTATTTACAGATTTTACAATCCGAAATTACTTGATGATATTGTCTCTGCTAAGGAACAGATTAATACACGCCAAATTGAGTTATAAAAGCAGGGCTGTGTATGCAGTGAGAATCGAAGTAGTGGCTAAAGCTGACGATGTAGCAATACTGGCGTTTGTTCATTTTCCTTCGATGTAAGTGAAATTATAATAAAATTGAAAGCAACAAAGGAGAAGTTAAAATGAATGACATAGAAAAATCAGCAAGAAATTGCTTGGAAATAGGTAAAGAAGGGAAAATTTAAAAACGCATTCAAAATAGTTGAGGTGAAAGCAATATTAAGTAGTAGAGCAAAAAGGCTGGCAAAAGTATCTACGTAGTTTGTGCTGTAGAGATAGCGGCACACAGCTAAATTTTTACGATTTAAACAGTAATGCAGCCGGAGAGCAGCAGTCAAAATAAAATTATAGCTTAAAAAACTAAAATCTCTCTATTATAATTGGCATTCGTACTGTCATCAAGTATGTAACTTGGGAATAGAAATTGCTGCATCTTTTAGGTGCATCAATATTACATAGTTACATCCCGAGTTAATAAAAGGAAGGTAAGAAGGTAAAAAGAGCTCTAAAGATGGTATATCAATTAGTCATAAATTGTTATCCTAGCGTAAACCTTGAGAAAACTGACCTTATGCTTTTTAAAAACAAAACAAACTTACCTAATTTTACTAAACCAAGATTCCGAAGTAAGAAACTGAATCTGTCCAACAAGGTGAAATACCTTGGAGTTATTGAAGATCTCAAACTTAACTGGAAGCCAAACATTGAAGAACGTGCAAGGAAGGCCACGGTGACTCACTGAACTGCCAAGATAATGTTAGGAAACAGATGCGGTTTGAAACCAAGAATTGTGCATTGAATGTACACTAGCAAGGGCTGAAAGCAAAGCAGAGAAAATCAAAGTTTCACACTGTATACAAAATTAGGGGAATTCAACGAATTTTCATCAAAATTTTAAACTTTTTACTCAGATTTAAAAAAAAAAAACTGGTATGCAGTTTTATAGCTCAATCAGTTTTAGTCTACCAATTCACAAATTTGAAGTGGCTACGAAATCGCGTTGATCCTTAATATTTTTTTGCTGTAATACACAAATTACATGACCATTAACATTCTCTGGTAGCACTTCATACAATTGTATAAAATAAAATGTACATATTGGTGAAAAGAAAATTATGACACTGCGTATGGTTAACATTGCCGAAAGCTCACCGGAAGTAAAAACAGTGTGGTAGAAGTGTGGCGCTTGTCTTTTTATAGTGCCCTCTGTTGGGCAAAAGCGAAACTATGCAAACAATGAAATTTGTGGAGCACATTTGCACCCTGTGATGACATTTTTACATACAGGAATTCCTTAACTAATTCCTTAACTAATACCTTAGGCTTCAAAAATGGCATTCAGGTTCAATTGCTTTTTCATTTAGACACTTTGTAAAACAAGTAACCCCCCCTAGTTTGAAAGCAGACGTAGAGAGGAGTTTGGAGTCATAACAATTTTCGTTCTTGGCGAATCTTTAAAACAGTCACAATTTTTTCCAAACTTTTTTGTGTATGACTCCATTTCAAAGTGTCTGATTTGTGCATTGCTGCGAAGCAAATTATTCAAAGCATTCCTTTTGGTGTTGAGTTTTGTAAAAATGCACACAAATTAAATATCAAAAGCCACCACCGATCCAAATGTGCTTTGTTATTCACCTGCAAGCCCAAGTTATTCGCTTGCCTGGGCGTATGAGTGACAATAACCTGCAGGTAAGGCTACTAGTTGTGAACTAATATTCTATGGCGCGTATTCATAGTCCAGCAACTAAGTCGAAACTAACAAAGTTGCAACTTAAATTTAAGTACCAACTTAAAATTTACCTCTATTCATAGTCGCATTTCAGACTTCTACTAAGTAGTTTCGACTTAGTTTACGATATAGCAAAACGAGTGTGAAAATGTATCGATTTTTCTTTACGATATTTTGGAAAAATTACATTTTTATTAAATAATGTGAAGTTTGATCATCCGTTTATGTAATTTTTATTTTCATTGCATGATTATGCAAAAGAATAAGGTATCATTTTCTTGTTAATTGTGTGAAATAGCCAGAACAACCGCAGTGATGTGAAGTCGATGTTTATCGAAAGCATGCTGTGAAACATACAAATAGTAGATATCTAAATGTTATGCACAAATTTACTTTAAAAGAACTAGCGGCAAACTGACTTATTATTTGAGAATTTATCTAAATTATTCCAATTATAAATTTGTGATGTAGCTTTATTCGAATTGTAATACGCATTTAATTTCATCTTCCGATTAAAATGGATCGATCTTTGTAAATTTTAATTGGACTTTATTCAATATTATCAAATTCACCCTCTACCAACTTAATTTTTACATATTTCGTCTGTTTTCCCTTAATTTGATAAAATACTTCTTCCTAGTTACGACTTAGTTGCAGCTGCAGCCGAAACTAAATTTTAAGTTGGTACTTAGCCAGAAAAGTCGATGAATAGCTTTAGTTGTGACTTAGAATAGTTTCGACTTAGTTGAGTACTAAATATGACTATGAATATGCGTCTATCAGTTTGCGTTTCAGTCCAACTAGATCACATTCTATCCTTTTTCAATGTTAGCGACTGATATTTTTAACATGGCGATGTCCTACGAGATGTCATTGTCAGGTTATGAATCAGCGTCTACTAGTAGAAATATTAGTAGCATCATCCCCAGTTGTTGAGATAGTCTGCCCATTGAAAAGCATAAGTACATATGCCATTTTGCTCGCAGCGTTCCAACAATCGCAATGAACGACAGAGCAGAGCACTGGCGAGGTTTTTCCGCGGTTCAATTCCTGGCAAGGGGCAAATTTTTTATTTAATTTTTTTAATTATCTTTTTTTTAGGGTTTTTATTTAATTTTTAAATTGAATTAAAAAATTATTTATATTAAGTTCTTGTTTTATGGCACAAGTATTTCTCCCCATATGCATGTTTTTTTTCTGCAATGAAATTAGTATTTCAAAGTTATTATTTGTACTTCTATTAAAATAATTGTATTGACTTACATTAAGGGTACACATTTAAAAGCGCAAAACTCGCGCAAACTGGGCAAACTGTGCAATTTAAAACCCTCGCAAATGAAATGTCAAAATTTGTATTGAAAGCTATTTGCACAAAAAGGGCAAGTTTGCGCGGAAATTTTGTCGCGCGAATTTGCGCAGTGTGATGTGCAACCCTCAATTAACTATTTTGTTTACTTTCATTTTGAATTGTGCTCAACGCTTTTTCGTAAGACTTAAATATTTTCTTAAATTCGAGTTTCAATTGTTCAACATTTTAAATTAACATTGTCAAATAATTAAATGTCTGAAATTGCACAGAATATAAAATTGTCCTCATGAAACACACTGCACAAAGTTGCCTAATTGCCCAAATATAAAACTTGCGCGAATCGATGAGTTCCCTTATTAACAACCTTGCAGATGTGCATACTTAAAGATTTAACCTACTGCTAAAAGCCGGTAAACGGCCAGTTCGAGAACTATTTAGTAAACCTTTTATTCATTCAATTAAATTTATTGAGTCAACATTATCCCTTTTCATTTTGTGAGAGTGGAAAATTTTTGTACACCGTCAAAAGAGTCAATATGTTTTCAATGGCGTCCGATCCGTGAGCGGTTCACCTTCGCCTCTGCAAAATATCTTGGTAATAAATAATTTCACTGCACTTAACAGCAATTAGGGAAGCGCATAAAATG